AGAGAAAGCGAGTGGCCAAATATCACCCAGTAGTATTCATAGCCAAATGGGGATTTAGACTTAAGACAGGCACTCAAAACACTACACCACAAGTATGCAACTATGTCTAAGGAACACCAAAGTCAAGCAGATGGTTCAGGATACTAGACAGAGTCAAGATATCAGGAAGAGGCAGAAAGTAGTTCGCAATCTGCTGGCAGATCTCTGGATGATCAGCAGTAAATCAGCAAGGATCTCTGACTACCAAATATTTAACAACAGTTACACAATTGTTTCCCACAGCTATCACCCCAAATTCAAAACTTGGGGAAACAAGAGCACATTTTTGTGTGGAAGCCAGAGCTTGGAAAAGTTACTTCTCTAGACTACAACTCTCTGAATCCCATAGCCACAATGATACATCATGCAGACTGGTAGAATCTCACAGCTGTAGTGCAAAAAAGTAGCTTCACTGAGCTCTAGAATGTGGTGGTATTCAAACAAAATTAATTCCTGTGCTCAGAATCACTTAATTCTAAGCACCAGGTTCCAGCTGACAGGTCCTTTTGACTTTGTCTGGGGCTGATGGGAGATGTAGTCCACCTAACATATCTAAGGAAAGCCAGGTTGAGGCAGGCCATACCAGACACAGCCACCAGTTTCTGTGCTTCATCTGCTTGGCTTAGACTAGCTCTGTAATAACTGCAGATGCCCAGAGACACTAACTAATGCCTTCAATTTTTCAGTTTTCGTATTTTGCTTGCTTCAAATTCTGCCTGTCTAAACCAAGGAATCCAGGCATCTATCAGCCAGAGAGCTCTTATTAATGTGTCTCTTCCCCCACGACAAATTAAATCTCAGCAGCAAAATTAAAAAGCTGAACTCACTTGGCAGTTTTAATATTAAAGGCTGAAGGTGAAAACTTCTTGTAGTTCCATAGGATTTTGAGCAGAAACTCCCAATCTGGTCTGCAAACAAAAATCCAATTATTATCTAAGGGGACTTTTCAAAATGGGTTGAGGAACTGCAGGTGCTGAGGTCAAATCCAGCCATCCCAGGATCCCAATGCAGCCCTTTTGCAGTTCTCCGGATGACCATACCCCTTTGCCACAACATCACTGTTCATTCTTAAAATTTTAAATGCCTCTACTAAGGCTTAGTTAAGCAGCTTTCGACTAAAAGATCCTGATTTCTTCGCCTCATTATTTTGCCTTTTGTCCTACACAGCTTTTACATAAATACCCCCCAAATTTATCTGAAATGGAATTTGACCCTTGTGGGAAAAGAGCCTCTTTGCCTTTCCTTTTGACTGGGAAAGGCAAAATACAGTCTGCCTTCAGCCTCCAATGCTGTTTCTGTAGGTCAGGGGTAGGCAACCTTTTTGAGCTGGGGGCCGGGTTGCTGTCCCTCAGACAATTGGGGTGCCGAAGCACCAAAAATAAATAAATAAATAAATATTTTTAAAAAAATTTTTTAAAATATGCATGCATACTCTCTCAACCCCAGAAAAGCCATGATGGCAAAACCCCTGTGGAGTACAAGTAATAACAACAATAATCAATATCATTATGGTGGACGGCAGTGGTGGTGGCAGAATCAGCCTGGGGCCAATCCAAAAGCCTCGGGGGGGGGCCGCATCCGGCCCCCGGGCCTTAGGTTGCCTACCCCTGCTGTTGGTCCTGAGTTCCTCCTAGTCCCTCCAATACTTCACTTATTTTTCCCCTCTTTCTTCCACATTCTTTCTTCCACATCCAGAAACCAATCAATTTCTGTTTGTGGATATCTCCAGGAGGTACAATGTTGTATTAAAAATACGCGCATCAGCCCCCAGTGAATGCCTGGACTGATTTTTTTTCCTCCTCCACCCCATCCCAAATTTTAGACCCACTGGGCAGAAAACCGATCCCCAGATTCCTGGAGCTTGCCCACCTCTGCTTTTGTTCAACGGCATAGAACCTTTTTGCGTGGGAGGCCAGATGCTAGTAACAGATGAGGCAAAGTAAGAAGCTTATGAGAACACAGCAATCCTGCTTTTTCCTCTCCCTCTTCTGCTATCATCTTCTCTCCCTCTCTTCCAATAGGTAAAGGAAAAAGAACTCACTCTTGAAAAGATCCAAACCAATGCTTTGCAGTGGACTTTCGAAATTGTTGTTGTTGTTAACTGCCCTCAAGTTGACTTCAACCTCTGGTGACCCTGTGAATGAGGCATCTCCTAGACTCCCTAAACTCAACTGACCTGCTCAGTTCCGACAAACTTAGGGCCATGTCTTTTTTTATTGAGTCTATCCATCTGGTGTGTAGCCCTCTGCTCTTTCTGCTGCCCTTTATCTTTGCAAGCATTATTGTCTTTTCTAGTGACTCATTTCATCTCATGCGGCCAAAGTATAACAGCCTCAATTTAGTCATTTTGGCTTCTAGGGAAAGTTCAGATCTGATTTCCTCTTGTTTGTCTTTTTAGCCATCCATGGTATTTGCACAACTCTTCCTCTGCACCACATCTCAAATCACGTTTGAAATCAGGATCTCTGAAATCAGGCTTATGCCTGCATACATCTCTAAGGCCATAGGGTGGGTGCCTAATCCCACTTGAGATACAAGAGACAAACCCAGAAGAAAAATATAAGGGTGCCTTTCTTAACCACCCAACCTAGAAAAGTGCTCAGCAAAGTTAACATTTGGACTACAGCTCCCAGTATCTCCCCCTCTGAATGATCACTGGTAATCTCATCCCAAAAAGTGACTTTTCCAAGCTCTGATCTAAGCAAAGGAAGATTTCCCTATGCCAAGTCAGCCCAACAAGGGTGGAGACCATCCATTCTTCACCCATATGGCTATGGCGAGACAAGGGTTGTTCTCCAACTCCAAACTCAGGAGAAGTCTGAGAAGTTCATCCTTTTTGGCTAGTATTCTAGAAGCTTAAATTTCATGGCCAAGACATATGATTAATATACAACACACACCCTGCTCAAGCCCAGGGCGGATGATCTAACTGACCTTTTCAAAAGAGCTCCTCCCAAAGTCTCCAGGCCCTTGGGTAGTGGATTACACTGCTTAGGCCATCTGACATTGTGTCTGTTTTCCCACCAGCTGCACCTCATAGTAGAGCTTCTTTAAAAAGCCTTCCAGACCAACTTTTGAGGTTTTTAAAAAAAAAAAAAAAGTTGTCTCATACAAGGGCATGATTGAAAGTGGACACAGCTTCCTTCCTCTCTCTTGTTTTAAAACAGAGCAAAAGACCAAACAGAGCATTTTTAGAGCTGCGTGGGACTGAACTGGAAGCATGCCTTCTGCATTTTATCCAAGAGCGCTTCTCTCATATAGTTTCAAGCTAACATATCTGGGGGTAATTGTGTTGGCCATGTATTTTGTGCATTTTGCAACATATACCTAGTGCATTTTGTTTGGCCTAAAAAGGTATCTGTTTTGTAGATTTTAGATGGCAAGTTAGCAAGGCAAGAGGGCTACAGTTATGATGCAGATGCTGAACTGAGGATAGCAGCAATTGGCCAGCATCCCTTGTGCCACCACCCCGAGAGTGCTTTGAAAGAAACATGTAACAAATAATTACTAACATTTTAGTAATTAGTACATTTTCAATTGTAAGGATGTAATTATCTTTGCCTTTATGCTTCCAAAACTAATGCAACCAGTGCGAATGAAACTATTTTACTGGTGTAGCATTTTCTTGCTACTGTTTCAAGTTCACTTTTCAGGGTCCTTTGATAGTAATATTTCAGCTTCCACACCATTCCCTTAGTACAGCGGTTCTCCATTATTTTCTGTCAGGCCCCCCCTAGGCAAGAAGAAAACATTTCGCGTCCCCTCGCGCGATCACATGGGCGGGTTTGGCCAATCAAAATAGAGCTACTGGGGCCGCGCTGGGACAATCTCCCTTTCTCCAGCCATAACGCGCCCCCCTTTATGGAGCCTCGCACCCCCCTTGGGGGTCGCGCCCCACTATTTGAGAACCGCTGCCTTAGTAGAATCACAGAGATGGAAGGGACTGCAAGAGACATATAGGGTCTTTGCAGACTGGCAGAAATAGTGCAAATTGAGTCCACTTTAACTGCCCTGACCCAGTGCTAGGGAATCATGGGAACTGTAGTTTATTGTGGCACCAGAGCTCTCTGACAGAGAAGGCTCAATGTCTCAGAAAAAAATACAATTCCCATGATTCCCTAGCACTAACCCTAACCCTAAAAGTGGACTCAATTTGCACTATTTCTAGCAGTCTGCAAAGGGCCACAGTTCAACCCTCTGCCACACAAGAATGCCTAGTTAGACCATTCCTGAAAGGTGCCCATCCAACCTCTGTTTAAACACCTTCAAAGGAGGAGAGTTTACCACCCTCTGAGGCAGTCTATTCCACCACTAAGCAGCTCTTACCAACAGCAAGCTCTTCCTAAAATTTAGTTGGATTCTTTCTTCTTATAATATGAATCCACTGGTTAATCTTTAATTAAGCCTGAATATTTTTCTTTTACTGAAAACTAAGCTTTTTAACAATGAAATGAGTAACCACGGGGACACTTTCTTAACACTGTAACATGGGAATTGTCATGGGTCCAAAACACACTACAGAAATAACCCAGTTTGAGACTGCTTTAACTGCCCTGGATCAGTACTAGGAAATCCTGGGTATTGTAGTTTATTGTGGCACCAGATCTCTCTGACAGAGAAGACTGCCTCACAAAACTACAGTTCCAAGAATTCTCTAGCATTGAGCCAAAACAGTTAAAGCGATCACAAACTGGATTATTTCTGCAGTGTGTTTTGAACCTAGGCTACTGCAGTGTTCTACTCGTGGGACCCTCCAGGAGCCAGGAACTACCAAAAAATGGGGGGGGGGGGGGGGGGGGGGGGAGTAGAGGAAACAGAAGTGGCCAGAGTCTATTTTTGATTTTGATAATTTTTTTTAAATGGTGAACAGCAAAAGGAATCCTTCCAATCTATTTAAAAGGTGAATTGCTATTCCTGGATTACTGGTCTACTTTCGTAGGGTGGAAGGTAGGAAAATGGGAGCCAGTATGGTGCAGTGGTTTGAGCATTGGACTACAACTCTAGAGACTACAGTTCAAATCTCCACTCAGCCATGGCAGCCACTGGGTGACCTTGGGCAAGTTACACTCTCTCAGCCTCAGAGAAAGGCAAAAGCAAACCCCCTCTAAACAAACCTTCTCTAGAAACCCCATGACAGGTGCATCTGTCATAAGTCTTTGAAGGTACATAATAACAGGGGAAACAGTGTTTTGAGGAGTCTACAGGACCACAGAAAAGCCTGCCAGGAATTGTTTGCAGTCCAAAGGCCATACTTTGTCCACTCTGGCTATAATGAGAATTATGAATGAACTACTATTAAGAAGTATCTTTCAAATTCGGCCCAAAATCAGTTTTACAAGAGGGAGAATTAATGCAAGGATGAATCAGAACAAGGACATCTGCAACATTTTCAGGGAAAAGGGAGCAAGGCATCCGTTTGACAAACAATAATTTTGTTGGTTAAAACAAGTGTGCCCTGGGCTTATATGTATTTCTGTCAATTGAACTACAAAATTAGGAAGAAGCTGGACTCTCACCCGAGCTGGGAGTTAGAGTTCCCTTTTCATGCTGCAGCTGCCTTGCCCCTACAAGACATCATGGCCTACTTCGTTGCCCTAAATTATCAGTAAACTCCACTTGATGAAAGTGTTTTTCCTTGCCTTGCCTTCTTCTTGCAAGGGGTCCCTTCGAACACATTACCACTTAGGTGTCACACAAGCTTGTTGGAGTGGTGAATGCTATTAAAAAAGAGGGAAGCTATTAAGTAGGCACACAGGCATGTACAAATATCTATTGCTTTTCCGCTCTTCCCCAGATGCACTCAGTACGATTGCACTGCAGAGGGGAGGGATAGAAATAATTGTTTATTATTATTATTATTATTATTATTATTATTATTATTATTACAAATGTTTGCTGTTTACGCTGTCCAGTACAAATGAAATCACAGCTGCAATGGAAGTAATCATAGCCTATAACACCTTTTTTTCCATTTTTAAAGAAGGTAGAGTTCAAAACAATTTAGAACAGAAAACAGAAATCAGAGTCAAACCCTTGATTTTCTGAACTATGCTATCATGGAGATCTCATTAAGAAAAATGTCAGTTAACTTTTCCTCTATATCTCTCTTCCTATAACTACTCCCCAATATTTTCATGTGAGCCAGTGTGGTGTAGTGATTTGAGTGTTGGACTACAACTCTGGAGACCAAGGTTCGAACCATGAAAACCCACTTGGTGACACTGGGCAAGTCACAGTCTCTCATCCTCAGAGGATGGCAATGGCTAATGAAGAAACCTGACAAGAAAACCCCATGATAGCTTCACCTTAGGGTTGCTGTAAGTAGGAAACAACTTGAAGGCACATAACAACAACAACAACATTATTTTCATACAAGTGTTAGGATGATGGTAAAAATACCCAATTTTCTTTAGTTTGTTTTTAATATCCACTCTCCAAAGTGCAGGTGGAAAACCTCAGGTCTTGGAGTCAAACCTGGCCCTCATGGGTCCCAAAATCTGACCTTCCAGGATTCCACAAGTGGCCACATTCCCTCTTCCACATGACACCATTGTTGTCATTTCCCAGCTTCTGTTTGGTTCCCGCCATACACACAGACATTGATGTTCTAAAAGGCTAAATGTATCTCCTAGAGCTTGGTTACTGGCAGTAAAAGCTTCATACATGGTATTTTTGGTTCCACTCGTTTGCCTGGCCCACCAGAGGAATGCAGCCTCTGAGGACATCTCAGAAACTGAATTCAACCCTCAGGCTGAAACAGGTATGTCCTGATGCCATTCTATTTAGTTCAAAATGTGAAAGCAGCCTTATAAATAAGCCAAGGTACCATCATGCTATAGTGGTTTGATTGCTGGACTATGACTCTGGAGAGCAGGGTTCGATTCCCCACTTGGTCATAGAAATCCACAGCGTGGCCTTGGGCAAGTCACATTCCCTCAGACTCAGGGGAAAGCAAGGGCAACCCACTTCTGAACAAATCTCACCAAGAAAACCCCATGATAGGGTCACCAAACATCAGAAAGGATTTGAAGGCATACAAAAATTACAATTTAAAAAATTGCTGAGGACTAGTGGTCTATGTTATCATGTTGAACACGGAGGCAAAGGAGCTCTTCCTCTGCAAGGCAATGCCAGATCCCTGCCTCTTAGCAGTCTTAGTGTTTGGAGAGATGGACCCTGCACCAAACCCCTAATTCCTTTCCTAATCAGAAGGATGAAACAAGGGCTATTTAGACCCTGCAAGGGAAGAGGGTGGGTAGCAAGCACTGCTAGGCTTTACTTCTGGTAACCCTTTGGTTACTTTCAGTTACAATACCATACTAACAGCAGAAAACATCACAGACCTAGAGCAGCTACTGAGGAAAGTCAAGGAAGAAAGTGCAAAAGTAGGCTTACTGTTGAACATAAAGAAAACAAAAATAATGACCACACAAGATATCCATAAATTCAACCAAGACAATGAGGAACTAGAAATAGTAAAAGCATTCCTGAACCTTGGGTCAAACATTAATCAGAATGGGGACTCCAGTTAAGAAATCAGAAGAAGACTAGGGATGGGGAGGGCAGCTATGAAAGAACTAGAAAAGATTCTCAAGAGCAAAGACATATAACTAAGCATGAAAGTCAGAATTTTACAAGCAATTATGTTTCCCATTGCCATGTATGGATGCAAGGGTTGGACAATTAAGAAAACGGATAAAAGGAAAATAAATTCATGTGAGACGTGGTGCTGGAGAAGAGTGCTGAGAATACCATGGACAGCCAAAAAGACAAACAAATGGGTGAGTGAACAAATTAGGCCTGAGAGCTCCCTGGAAGCCAAGATGACTACATTGAGACTGTCATCCTTTGGCCATGTCATGAGAAGACATGGCTCATTAGAAAAGACTCTAATGCTAAGAAAGGTGGAAAGAAAGAGAAACAGAGGAAGGCCACATTCTAGATGGATGGACTCCATCAGGGAAGCCATGAGCATGAATCTGTAAGAACTGAGGACAGTGGTGGAGGACAGGGAGCATCGGAGATGTCTCATCCACAGAGCAGCCATGAGTCGAGATCGACTCGAGGGTAGTTAACCACCCTTTGGCTCCACCTCTGATGACCCCCACTCTTTTTCCCACCAGCTCCAATAAGAATCAGCTCACATTGCTAAGCAAGCAAATCTAAAGATTTCCTTTCAACAAATGGGCTAGCAGAGAAAGGACCAAGAGAGCCATTCCTTCCCTGCCAGTCTACTCACTGCTTGTAACAAATCCCTTTAAACATCTGGTTATGATGCAAGTTGTTAAATGCAAAGCTGTGGAAGATCAAACGAGTTTAATAGCATATGTATCTACTCAAAAGCAAGCCAAACCAAGTTGAGTGGGATATGCATACAAAGGACTGGCAGCTTTAAAATGTATCTCTGGAATGTCCATGTACAACGTGCAAACAGACACAAGTCTCCTTCACATCTACCCTACATGCAGCCTTGAGAGCTGCTTTCCCAAGGGTGCAATCCTCCACTCCACAAGGGAATACGTGGGAGTGCTATAACCACGCTGTATGAATCATATGGGTCACAACCATCACACACAGTTATACAATCAAATTAATTCTCAAACACCAAAAATAAGTATGTCCTTCCTATTAAAGGGGATGGGGAAAGCAGAACTTGGAAACTTTACACATGATTATCAGCTAAGGGATTCTGGGAATTTTAGTCCAAAAATGTTATTTTTCCACATTAGAGAACCTGTTTGGTTGGATAATGAGCCACAGAGCCTGTGGGTGAGTTCACATGCCCTGTTGGTATGTTGTGACACAACCAGGAATAGAGGGGGAAAGAGTTACAGGCAAGAAGGAAAATGTTAATCTGTTCCAGCATTTCTGTTTTTGTCATTAGACTGATTGGGGGTGGAATGCAACTTCTGTGATCAAAAATACACTGCAAAAAACATCCCAATGTTCTTTGGATCTTCATCCCCACCATAATAATTGGCAGAGGGCAGCCATGTTAGTCTGCTGCAGCAAAAACAACCAAGAATGTTGTGGCATCTAAAAAATTAACAAATTATGTTACAGAAAAACCTCTCATGGAGTCCAGATTCCTGAAGTGCTTTCTCAGTTGGCTGAAATAAGTGCCAATTGAGATAACAATTTGTGTAACCAATAATAATAAGCTTATGCCATAGTAAACTCTGCTAGTCTTTAAGGTGCAACAGTTTTTGTTTTGTTTTTATCCTATCAAGCTCCACCTCACACTTTCCATTTTAATTCATAATGGATTTTCTACAAAGAAACTACACCCTGCTTGAAATATAACATGCTTAAGATTGCACAGATTAATTTGCAGGGACTGGAGATGTCTGCCAGAGGGAACTTTTGCCCTGGGAGAAATAGAAAAAGAAGGGGTGAAGAAATTAAGAAGATAAAACTAGGTGGCATTTTATTTATGAAAAATTCTCTAGGCAAAGGTAGTCAATCTGGTGCTTTTCAGATGTTTTGGATCACATCTGCCATAATGCCTTACCCATGGCCCTGTTTTCTGGCATTTTGTACTTTAACATAAATACACTCTCTCCAAAATATTCAGAGCGCACCAGGTTACAGGCTGAGCATCCCTTAAACAGAATTCCAAAATCTAAATTACTCCAAAATCCAAGACTACCCACATGTGTGGCTGAAATAGTGACATTTTTGCTTTCTGATAGTTCAGTGTACACAAACTGTTTCAAGCACAAAATTATTAAAAATGTTGTATATAAATTACTTTTTGGCTAGGTTACTTTTAAGCACAGCCTGAAGGCAGCCTAGCCTTAAGGCAATTTTAGGCATAGCCTAAAGGTAATTTTATACACAATATTTTTAATAATTTTGTGCATAAAACAAAGTTTGTGTACACTAAACCACCAGAAAGCAAAGATAAATGAATCTCATGTTTAGAATTGGGTCCCATTTCCAAGACATCCATTATGTACATGCAAATATTTCAAAATCCCCCCTCCCCAAAAAATCTAAAACACTTCTGGTTCCAAGCATTTCAGGTAAGGGA